AGAAAGGACACAGCCCAATTTGCTGGGGTGGGTTTTTTTGCTCATAAAGCCTGTTTGTGTTGTTTTTTTAATTTAATGCTAATGTCGTTTACCTTATGTTATTAAACATTTGCTGTTACAGTCAGACTCCGTGCTTGCGAGAGGGGAAGTATTGCCTCCTAAAGGCGCCCAGGGGGTGGTATGTAATTGTCCCAGGTCACTGGGTGGGGGCTCGAGCCGGTTTTGCATTGCGTTATTAAAACGGAACCCCTAAATACAAAACCCGGCCCTTGTTGCTGCCAACTTAGATGGGCAAAAGGGTTACATTTTTGGGGGCTCGTCCGGGATCCCCTGGGTCAGTACCCCTCGCAAGCACGTGTTGAGTGTTCCACTGCATTGGGAAACAATTGTGGTTATATTTTAAGGAAATTACTGTTTGTATAATTGCTAATATGTTAGGTTTGTTGGGCCCCGGCCCTGCAGCCTCTAGCTCAGGGGCCGCAGCCTCAGCTAATGATTGGGCAAAAGCACTGGGGCAAATATTGGAAAAGGTTGTGTTGTCCCATGCTAGGTCAAACTCTTGTCGTGAGTTAAGGTTATTTGCTGGGGCAAAGGAGTTCAAACCCTGGTTAAAGCATACCACTGAAATGCTGCAGGAGTGGGCTGTGCCTGATGCAAAAAAGCGAAGATGTCTAATAGAGAGCCTTAGTGGCCCAGCATTAGATGTGATTCGCACCCTGAAGCTCATTGACCCTGAGGTCAGTGTGAAGGACTGCCTGGAGGCCCTTAATCATACCTTTGGAAGTGTAAAGGGCCCTAAAAACAGTTACTGTAAGTTCCTTAATTCCCGACAGCAAATTGGCGAGAAGATTTCAGCCTATATACAGAGGCTGAAGAAACTGCTTCAGAGAGCTGTCATGAGGGGTGCAGTGACTGCTAAACAGATGAATCGAACCAGACTGACTCAAATTGTAAGAGGAGCTCAATATCAGAACTCGATTCTACTCCATCTCCGGCTAAGAGAACGACGGGAACATCCCCCAAGTTATTCCCAGCTAATAAAGGAGGTCAAAAAAAAGGAAAAAAGGCAGGCTGCCAGCGAGTTTTGGGAAGCCCAATCGTTGGAGCCAGCCGGCACAACACCACTGCAAATGGCCAGTGTACTAATGGTAAGCACCACAAAGGAACTTGCCCAACAAGTGCAGGTCCTAACAAAACGGATAGCTGAACTGCAAAACACCATTGACCGAGCTAAAACTTCCAGGAATAAGGAGCCTCTGACTGTGGTGATGGAGAAGTCAGCATTTAAAGCCACCATCCCATCTGGGCGAAGGGGGAAAGGACAATTCTTCTGCTACCGATGTGGTCAGAATGGACACAGTGCTGCCAAGTGCCATAATAAAAAAAACCCCTCCTTAGTGTATGAAAAGCTAAGGATCAGTTGGAAAAAATCCGGTAGCTGCCAGAGAGTCCGGGAACGGAAATCACCCAGGCCTGCAGGATTTAAAGATTCCCCCAGAAAAGACCATCCAGCTGGGATCCCCGCAGGACTGATAGGGCCTCGAGCAGAGGTCATGGTAAAGATTAAAGGGGAGGAGTGTAAAGCCGTGCTTGACACTGGATCTCAAGTAACTATTATATTTCAGTCATTCTACCAAAAAATGCTTAGGCACCTGCCTATACAGCCACTGACTGGCGTTGGTCTGTGTGGCCTCAGCATGAATAAATACCCCTACCAAGGGTATGTCATAGTGCACCTAAAATTCCCAAAGAAGGTTGCCGGGGTAAAAAAAAAGGTGGACACAGCTGCATTAATATGCCCTGACCCTAAAGGGACCTCTGATGTGTCTGTGCTGATAGGGACCAACTCCAGTCTCTTCAAGGTGCTCGCGGATTACTGCGACGACGGGCTGGGGACCAGTACCTAAATACCCTAATAATCCATACGCTTTGTGCTAAAGCCTATAGGAAAATTGAGGGTGCTAAAAAGAAAACATCTAAGCTACCGATTGGGGCGCTGAAGTACATGGGCAAACCCCCCTTAGTAGTGCCTGCAAGGACGGAGCAAAAAGTGCTTGTCATAAGTACTCGGCTGAAAGGCAGTAAAGGGGCATTAGCAATGGTAAAGCAGCCAGTTAAAGAAAAGCTCCCAAAAAGAGTGCTGGTCCCCAGTAAAGTCATAACCCTACCTGCTAAAGCCCAGAAAAATGTAACTATACTAATTGCTAATAAAACAAGTCAAAATGTTGTTGTGAAGCAAGAACAAAAAATAGCGGATCTCTTTAAGCCTAAATCAATTGTAAAACCCCAGTGTAAAACTCAAGTTCTGCCAATAGACCCTGCAAAGTTTAACTTTAAAAATTCACCGTTGTCCGAGAAGTAAAAAGATCGCCTGAGAAGGAAACTTTCTAAAAGATCCAAGGTGTTCTCATTGCATGAGTGGGATGTGGGATGTGCAAAAAAAGTAAAGCACAACATCAAACTACATAACTCTCGACCTTTCAGGGAGAGATCTAGGAGAATTGCCCTCTCCGAGATGGAAGATGTGCGACAACATCTTCAGGAGCTGGCTGCGAATGGCATCATTACAAAGTCCCGCAGCCCATACGCCTCACCCATTGTGGTGGTCCGTAAAAAAAATGGAAAAATCCGAATGTGTATTAACTACCGCACCCTAAACCGCCGTACTGTGGTTAACCAGTACACAATGCCCCGAGTCCAAGATGCCTTAGACTGTTTGCTGGAAAGCCAGTGGTTCTCTGTGTTGGATCTTCAAAGTAAATACTACCAAATCCCTCTGGGTAAAAAAGATAAAAAAAAACAGCCTTCATCTGCCCATTAGGGTTTTATCAGTTTAAACGCATGCCCCCAAAAATTTCTGAAGCACCTGCCACATTTCAACGTCTTATAAAAAAAGTTGTAAAAGACATAAATTTACTGCAAGTGTTAGTTTATTTGAATGACCTAATAGTGTTTAAAAGAACCTTAAAAAGCATAAAAAAAACTTCTTAAAGTGCTTAATAGGTTAAAGAATTATGGTTTAAAGCTTTCAATTAACAAATGCCAGTTCTGCAGAACCTCAGTGAAGTATGTGGGTCACATCGTGTCCCAAAAGGGTGTAAGTACTAATCCCAATAAAATAAAAGCCCTCACTACATGGCCATGTCCAAGTAACTACAAAAAACTCAAGACCTTTCTTGGGTTTAGTGGCTACTACCGCAGATTTGTAAAAAACTATGCTACAATTGTAAAACCTCTGAATAATCTTACCAGGGGATACCAGTCCAGCAGGAACAAATCTAAGACCAAGAATAAGGGGAGGTCCCCAAAGCCTCCTGTGCAGAGACACTATGGCCCCTTCGAACCATTTGGGCCACGGTGGGATAAAAGATGTAAAAGAGCTTTTCAAAAAATCATTACTTGCTTAACTCATGCTCCAGTCCTAGTCTTTGCTAACCCAAGCAAGCCATTTATCCTGCATACTAATGCCAGTTTGGAGGGTCTGGAAGCAGTACTGTACCAAAAAGTGAAAAAAAGACGTAAACCTGTAGCCTTTGCCAGCCGAGGACTGTCTGATAGTAAAACCCGCTATCCCACCCACAAGCTGGAGTTCTTGGCCTTGAAATGGGCCATCACTGAGAAATTTCGAGACTACTTATATGGTGCTCAGTTCCAGGTGTGGACAGACAACAACCCACTGACCTATGTGTTAACAAGTGCTAAGCTGGATGCTACAGGGCAAAGATGAGTGGCGACTTTGGCTAGCTATGACTTCAGCATTCAATACCGATCAGGGAGAAGCAATGTAGATGCAGATGCATTGTCCAGGCGTCCACAGGCACCAGGAGTTGCTGTGATACCCACAGATGGAGTGAGAGCTATTTGCAGTGTGAGTCGCCGGGAGCCAGAGTCCCAGGAGAGTCTTCATGGATGTGCTGCAGAAGCTTTGGGCCTGCCCCTTGAATGCGTGCCTTCTGCTTCAGTGAACTATATTGCGTTGGACCAATCTCCTTTGCCCATGCTCAATGCGGCTGACTGGCAGAAAGCCCAGCTGCAAAATATTGACATTTGTAATACACTACTTGCCAAAAGGAAGGGGCGAAGCCCAGCTGTGGTTGTCCCACCTAACCCAAAGGGTAAACTACTATTAAAAAAATGAACCAAACTAAAACTAATTCAAAAAGTGCTACACCAAGTAACCACAAACCCTTTACAAAAGCAACGAGCACAGCTAGTGCTGCCAAAAAAGTACAGAGCCCTGGCCATGAGGGCCCTGCATAATGACTTTGGACATTTAGGGATGGAAAGGACCCTAAAACTTATTCGTAGTAGGTTCTATTGGCCTCGAATGGCTGAAGATGTTCGCAAAAAATGTGAAACCTGCGCTCAATGTGTTCAAAAAAAACCTCTGCCCACGAGGGCTGCATATCTAAAAAACATCACCAGCAACAAACCTCTAAAGCTGGTATGCATTAATTTCTTGTCTTTAAAAGTAGACAAAAGGAATATTGGAAACATTCTAGTAGTAACTAACCATTATACGCGATATGCGCAGGCATATCCCACACGTAATCAAAGGGCCACCACTGTTGCTCGAGTACTGTGAAAAAAATATTTCTCAGTTTATGAATTTCCAGCCCAAATACACTCAAATCAGGGGCGGGACTTTAAAAGTCATCTTCTAAAGGAGGTGCTAAGGATAGCGAAAATTAAAAAGTCTAAAACAACGCCTTATCACCCGCAAGGTGATCCTCAGCCAAAGAGGTTCAACCGAACCCTATTAAATATGTTGGGAACGTTGCGGCCAGAGCAGAAGGCAACCTGAAGCCAACATGTCGCATTTCTGGTGCACGCCTACAATGCCACAAAAAATAATGCTACAGAAGTCACTCCATACCTCTTAATGTTTGGGCAAGAACCAAAATTACCCATAAACCTGTGCTTTGGTGTATCAGAAAATAAAAATAGCTACAAAACTCATCAGCAATATGTATCCCAACTAAAAAAAAAGCTGCGGAATGCTTATCACTTAGCTACATCTGCGGCTCAAAAAAACGCAGACCGCAACAAACATCAATATAATGCTAGGGTCCGTTTGCAAAAACTCCAGCCGGGGGACAAAGTCCTGCTGCAAAATTTCGGTATTACTGGCAAACACAAAATAGCTAACAAATAAAAGGCAATACCTTACTTGGTAATAAAAAAGCTAGGAGACCTGCCGGTCTACAAAATCAAACCTAAAAATGGTCCAGGGCAAACAAAAACGGTGCATAAAAACCTTTTGCTCCCTGTGGGGGAATTGGTAAACACTTCGTATAAGATGGGCCACAACAGGGCAACCGGGCGAAACGAAGGTGCTAAACCAAAGCTGCCCTCCAACATGAACAGCCAGCCCCCTGCAGCTAACCTACCCCTATGCAGCACATGCAAAAGTAAGTCCGAAAAAAAAGACACAACCATGGTGTATCCTAAAATAAAAACAAAATTTCAGTCTCAATCAGCATCAAAAAAAAAGCTCCTCCTCTTCTGCCCTAAACCCCATGGCAGAAGTATTTAGGCCCATTCCTGACACCCCTGGGCCACTGGTGGGACCCCCATGTAATAACACACACAGGTTATTGAACAGCGAAAACATACAGGTAAAAAATGTCCTGGGCACCTTGGACCCTCCATTGTTGAAACTAGAACTGCAGGGGCCTATGCCAGTAGCCGAGGGGCCCTCAAAAAAAACCTCCCCATCTGTCGTTCAAAAGGCTGTCCCCTCTACCACGGTAACAAAAAAATCTCAATAGACAAAACAGGGTAATAAGACCAGTAAAACGGTTAACTTATAATGCACCTGGGGTAACTAGTAAGAAACCAATATGTTTAGCACACAGGCTTGTGAAAGCTAAAGTGGGCTATCTAAGGCCCTTTAAAGGAAACCAGTAAGTTGGTATAATAGGAAGTGTGATTTGTCGGGACGACAAATTCTCGGCTGGGGGGAGGATGTAAGCAGAGTCAGGATAAGCTCTACCCTGACATCTGGTGGTAAATTATGGCGAGTGTGAAAAAGAACTCCAGGGGCTGATCTGGTTTGCATAGGCACACCCACTCGCCTGGCATAAAACAACAGCAACTCAAAGTGGTTACTTTGGCTGGTGTGGGATCCCCAGTTTCTCTATTATTGGGGCAGAAAGAATAAAGTTTTGTTACCCTGATTCTGTGAATCAAGGCCAGTGAAACTGTTGTATGACAGAAGGACTGAGTGAGTCCTTCCCCATTATCTAAGTAGCACTTGCTTGACAAGGGGCATGGGTTACAAAACCCAGTAAATTGAGAAAGAAGGGGGACAGGTATTTATATCTGATGGTATGGGCCCTCTTTGAGGGCTTGAAACACCAATTGCACC